CATCCCGCCCCAACCACCCAAACTAGCCACAATTAGGGTTTAGGGCTCCCACCCCCCAAACCCCCCTAGCAAGGGGGGCTTACTTATTTGTGTATTTGTGTAAAGACGTATATGGATTTCGAGGCGATGCTTGATTAAACATCTTGAAAGAAGAGAGAACAAGAGGCCCATGAAGGCGCGGGTCGCTTGCGGGCTGGCGCCGCTCGCTCCGTGCATGCGGGGTCGATTAAAGCGAGTTTATGGCCCTGCGTGGAGACATGGGTAACGTGCTGCCGCACGCCGCCAAAATTTTAGGCTTTTCGACTTTGCAAGGAGGTGCGGGTAGTGTGCCACCGCGTGCCGCTAAAGTCACCACTGTGGACCATATAAGTTGTGGGGCGTGAACCGCGACTAGCATGCTGCAGTTTTGTGTTGCAGGGAGGCGTGGGTAGCGTGCTGCCGCATGCCGCCGAACTTTATGAGGCCTCTTGGCTCGGTCGCCGCGCACTAGCGAAAGCGGCAAAGCCCCGGAATGCCCAATAGAAGCTGGGGAACCCAGGAAGGCCTTGGAAGCTCTTGCCTCGAAAAGCCGGGTAAGCCAAACGCAAGTATGGAAGGCTTCTGAGAGGGTCTTAGGGAGGCCCCCTGAGTGGCAGGCCCAGGGAAGTTTCTGGGAGCCTGGGTCGCAACTGGGGCATCCTGAATGCCGAAAATTGCCTTGGGAGAGAGACCTCTTAGGGGTTCGGGGTCTGACTTTTTAAGGGCTATACAGCCCTAGTCGTCATCAGCGGGGCTTGCCAGGCCTGCCGCTGTCTACCGGGAGGGCCTTTCATCACTATATTTGTCAAGGACGCTCGGACGGGGGTCCTCAGTGCGTGCGGCTCGAGCACGCATGTACATGGTCCGCCGCGCTGTCGCCAGTTTAGGGTTCAGGGTTGAAGGTTCAGGATTTAGGAAGCAATGGCAACATATGGCAACAAATGTCATGGCCCGGCCACGTTAATAGGTAAGCAGGGCGCCCCAAACGGCAGCACCTAGCGAACAAGATCCCACCTTGGAGGAATGTCAGTTGCGGCGGGAGAGCATGGTGGGGGTAGGGAATCGGGATGATACGCGGCCCCAACAATCTTCATAGCAGAAGCATGAAATGTCCGTGACCTCAATATGCACTACACAGCCCTGTCACCTTCTTGACGATATGGAGAACTTGAAGCATGAGTGTTTGATGACAACGGGAGGAATCGGCAAGAAGAGATTTGCCTAAACCCACCTCGCTTCCACGTCATGCCAACATGATGCCCAGGATGAAAGCTCAACAGCAGCTACACAGAACACCGCTGCCGCGGACAACAAGCTGTCACCTAAGTCTGCTGGAGATGGCAGTCTTAGTGGTGGAATGTGGTGGATGCGTATGGTTACGTTTTCACGAGACAGGTTCAACTCCAGCGACGGAATGCGTGGTCCCCACTTTTGCAGCTTGAGGTGTGCCTAGACTCCTAGACATCTTGGCAGCGTAACTTCAGGGAGGGCGTCCCACCAGTTCCGGGCTCCCCAGCTGCCGCCACGAACCCAATTGACTGCAATTGTGTCGTATGTGAACATATTTGATATTGCCCGATCTTGATTTCTTGTGAGAAGAGTTGGGAGCTGGCTGATGCTTTTGCAAATCTTTCACGGCCTGACCAGTCACCAAGAATCATCCAACAAAAATCTAAAGTTGTATACCCTGGACAAGCATAGATCTTGTGACTGCTAGCCCTTTTTTAGTTTCTGTGCATTTTGCAATGGTCAAAAGCGATAACATTTGGGACGATAGCAAGCCAACCACTTCGATCCATGAAAGTTGTGGTACTTGTCAGATGTGGCAACGCTGCAATGGTTCAGCAATGTTGACACTTGGAGTTTGGGTGCAAGTTGACGATGGCTCATGTTTCTGAAGTTCAACTCTCAACAGTCGCGAAGAACAACAGGGATTCAGGTTCGGAAAGACAGGACAGGCTACATCCTTGTAGCCACTAGCACTTTGTGTTTCCGCCTTTGGGCAATTAGCGCCTACGTGGGTGACGAACTCTAGGCCACAAGCGCGGCAGCTACGAGGATGGTGGCCCGGATGTACACGATTGTCGAGTTTCTGTTGCGGTTGAAGGATACAGTCGCGATCACATGTAGCTTCATATTCGGAATCGGATTGCTTTTGCTTGTGATTGTTTTATGGATGTGCTTCTTTTTTTGGATTTAATCGTTTTCGAGCAGTTGCGTGGGGCGTAGCCCACTCGGACGCTAATGTAGCTCTTTGCAACATATGTGATAGGATGTGCCAGGCGTTCGTTGACTTGGAGCGGTAGGGGGTGCCCATGAAGCAGCATGGACAAAGAGGAAAGCATTTCGATTCTTGCTTAACTTAAGAGTTGTCAAGCGTCGTTTTGAAATACAGAAGATGTTTGGTGGGAGGAGGATGCGCTTCAATTCAAGCATGTTTTTTTTTCTGGTTCTGTTTTCGTTAGTTCTGGTCCTCTGGTCTCCTGGCCCTTCCCTGCTTCCCTGGCCTCGGTCCTCTGCTATCCTTCATTGGAGGCTTGCTTTCTTATCCTTAGTAGTGCTACTGCAGTAACCTCAGAATTGCTGTTCGTGCGTGTTCACGTATCATTTGCCGAAAAGAAGTGCTGTTATTGGTATTGTCATAGAGGTTGTTACTAGTGCTATTACCATTACCAGTAGTTTTACTACGACAGGCATCGCCGCATGACTCTCGCTGCTTGAAATGCAACAATGTGATGCCTGGCAAACCCTGCTAAGGTTTAGTCTTGCAAATGCTGTCAGAGTTGCGCCTGCCCTCCTCTGCCCAGTTGTCAATGCAAAGCGCCATGCCTGGCAAATGCCAACACAACCATTATAGGGGTATATATTAGGGGATTATATAGACTCTACATATTAATCCACTCCCCCACTCCCCCAAGCACCAGTAAGATGAGTCTTAACAGGAAGCTTCATGCTCCCTCCTCGTCGTTTTTTTTGCAGAGCGGGACGGGCTGCGCTCTCCCGACCTTCTGCTATGTTTCAAAGCAAACACAATGCTTGGGAAATTTCATCAAAACTGTGAAAGAAGAACATTTTCCTCCATGTTTCACAGCAAGTAATGTCTGGCAAATCCTGACAAGATTTAGCAAGAGGCTTGGCTGCTGCTCCCCCCAGACCCCCAACAGCAAGCACAACGCCTGGTAAGTCCCATCAAATGTATCAAGACGCTACGTGTGCATGTGCATGTGTTGCAAAGGATGCAAAGGGGAAATGCACCACCCCCAGTTCAGGTTTTGTGAGTAAGGGGCTGCCCTAGCCGCTACCCCCGTCTACCCCCTACCCTCCCGCTATCTAGCCGACCGTGTCAAGACTCAGCAGACACCTACATGTTCGATTTGTCGTCCATTTTTTGCAGTGATTGTTAGCAGCTGTTAGCACCAGTGCTAGTGCTTTTGCATTTCCCCCCCATATTCCTAACGTTGCCCGCGATAAGTGTTACAACTGCTGATGCTACTAATAAGAGCCATCATGACAGTAATAGCAAAAGTCTTCGTTGATCTATTAGCAAGGCTACTAGCTAGCAAAACTGCCAGAGTCACAACAACCGCAAAGATAATGGATAACTCAGTACAGACATAGAATGGCAGCAATGGAGTTCTTAAGTGTCATGGTACTCGTCTTCGGTATCATGTTTTCAGTGCTGATGTCAGTACCATTACACATGGCGATTGCCACCGTCACGTTTAGTACTATTGCGATTATGATTATAGTTATCGTTGTTGCGTTGCTACTGTGTGCCATGGCTAGTGCCGTCCCTATTCACGTCGCTCTTGCCTAGAGACACCTGACAATTTGGTTCGAAATCTCGCTCTTGCGTTGAGCGTCCTCATGTTGGCTAAACATCTCATATGTTGGCTATAAAAGGCAAGTTTTTGTGTGGTCACGTTTTGGCCAAAGTCCAGCTCTCGTGTACGGCATGCTCAGATTTTGCGCTGGAAATTGAGCTTTTGCGTGAAGTGAGGCCGCATAGCACCGAGAGTGCTTAGAACCAGTTGGCGAAGGGGTGCCGCAAGTCTTGCGGGGCTTTGCAGAACAGCTCTGCTGCGTTTTCGGTCAAAAAACTCTTTTCGTGAAGCGTCCACACATTCTAGCTAAAACTGGAGCTCTCGTGTGAAGCATGGCGACCATATGGAGAACGTGGAACCTGAGTGTTTGATGACAACGGGAGGAATCGGCAAGAAGAGATTTGCCTAAACCCACCTCGCTTCCACGTCATGCCAACATGATGCCCAGGATGAAAGCTCAACAGCAGCTACACAGAACACCGCTGCCGCGGACAACAAGCTGTCACCTAAGTCTGCTGGAGATGGCAGTCTATACGTACGGTTACCTTTTCACGAGACAGGTTCAACTCCAGCGACGGAATGCGTGGCCCCCACTTTTGCAGCTTGAGGTGCGCCTAGACTCCTAGACAGTGCAACTTCAGGGAAGGCGTCCCGCCAGTTCCGGGCTCCCCAGCTGCCGCCACGAACCCAGATGACTGTGAGTTGACGCGTTAATTCATGCCTGTTTTTGGGCATATTGACCTACCATGCAGCACTGTTATACACAAGGATGAGAGCACAATCGCGGCAACAAACAACACAGCTGCTGCCGACAACAAGCGGGCCACTAAATCTGCAGCGCCGCAGAAAGTGGATCAATCGAGCGCCTGGTTCTGACGGTTGACTGTAAGGTTCAATTCCAGCGATGGCATGCTCTGTCCTCGGCATGTGCTGTGAGAAGTTCTGAGATTATCCTTGGTTGTGGCTGATGGCAGGGAAGCACAAAAGATGGCACAGCAAGACTTTCATTCATAGCTGCAGTGCCAGGCAGCGCCAGGGAGCTCCTGGAGATGACATGTCCGATGGTTCAAAGCACGTCGTCGTCAACATCATCAACCTCATTGTCGTTTTCACATCTCTCACTTAGACTTTGCTACCATCCGCAACTTCAGTACCCAGCATCGGTACGCATGAGCACCTGCACCCCTGAACAGCTTTCTGTTTTATTAGCAGCAGATCATGCCTTCTCAAACCCCAGTTCATCACGTGCTCTTAACTCCTACTAACTATCATCATCGTCAGCTTCATCAGCGAATTTGTTTTGCGAATGATGAATCATCATGATCTATCGCCACCCGCCCTCGTGAATATCTTGAATATTTGCCATGCATGACATGGTATACTCTTCAGTCATCTTCATCTGAGCATGAGAATCAGCATCGTCCTGTCTCCTTTACAATTGGGCATTCTGGATGTGCACCACCCGACAGATCTGCCACGATCTCGATCCAGTTCATCGCTGCAATCACCACGTCATTCCGTCGTCGCCATCATTACCATCACCAACAGCAGCATCACAAGTATCAGGACACCTTTGGTGGAAGATGGGGTAATGAAAATCACGTGGAAGACAGTGAAGTAGGAAAGTGCTAGAAGGGAGTCTGGCAGAGCGCCGCGCACTGTCGGGATCGGCTGAAATCTTGTCTGCACGAGATGCATTTTACTATTTGTCTGATTTTTGATCCAATTGTTCAGCTTGGCACGTTTTCTGATGCATCACCCTTGTGGCCGCGACTAGAAACACATGTGGAGTGGCTGTATGAACCGAGGCTTCGGATAATAAGAACACTTGGCAGTGCAACGTCATGTTTTTAAGGCAGGGCGTGCCACCGGTTCCAGGCTCACCAGCAGCATCCGAGGCGACGTATACAACATGTATCTTTTGAGACAGCGCTTGAGAAACTGCATGCTCTGCAATGCAAGGTTGCCGCGGACGATGCCGATGATGATGGGGAGGAGGAGGACGACAACGACGACGACGATGATGATGGTGATGATGATGATGATGACGACTGAGGAAGCACTGGCGAGAGAGCTGCTAGTCATGCAGGATTCTGCAAGCAGCGCACACACTGCTTGTGTAGGTAAAGGACCTGTTTGTAGGTCACCTACCTGCCAAATGCCACATTTTTTGCGGTGGGATCAGGCTGTCTCGGGCTTGGCTTCAAACTGGCCCAGCGAGGAGCGCAGCCTGAATGGAGGGATGTGAGATGATGTGAGTGTTTCAGAGCGGCCAGTGCTAGCCCACATGCCTGTTCGGGATCACCACGTCCTGATAGGAGCCACGAACCCAAGCGTAGGCCCGAAAGCCACCAAGAGTCGTTCATCTGTGTCCACCAAAGCGTGCGCAAGCCTTCGTTCAGAGCATCGCAGTGTGTTTGAAGGGGCAGCGACATGACGTGGTACGATTCCCGTTCGGTTGCCGCTTCTGATTTTGCATGGGGGCCGGGAAGTCACCGCCCTTGTTTTTTTTTTGTTGGCTCTCTCACAGGCACCTCGGCCAGGCCCCCGGACTCTCTGGTAGGGCAAACCCGTTGTGTGCCCCATACTCCAATGTTTAGAGTGGAAACCTTCTGCAAAGTATTGGGGACAATGCGCAGAGGACTCATGATCCAGCAGCAAAGGCGCCACTGGCAATGAAATTCCAGGGCTCAACAACTTCAGCTTGGGCGATCTACTTGTAGCTAACCGGTAGCCCATGTTAAACAAAAGGTGCTGATCCTCTGCCCTTGGCACGCAGGTTTCTCAACGGACTCTTGCATGCCGTCGCAACTTTCTCTGCCATGTCTTCATGATGATTGTAGGGGTGTGTATGGAGGGGAGCAGATTCACACAGTTCTGCGTTTGCGAAACAGTGCAATGCTTTCGAATTCTGTCTAGGTACAGTACGTCTTGTGAGCTAGCTAGGCGATGCATTTAGCTTGGCGAATAGCTCTCTACATGAACAGGACCTGGCAGTTCGGCAACTTTTTGGGAGCCCTTCTGGATTCCCGACGGCCAGTCGTTGAGAGCAAGAAGGCGCTTGAACCGTCGTCAGGCCAGATGTACTTCTCGCTGGCCTCTACTTGGCGACAGCAGCCTTCATAGGGATGCTGCCTTCCATGATCTTGCGACTGACCGGTCGCAATGTGAAGACCTTCATCATGGAGACGACAAAAAACACCGCCCAGCGCTTTCGCAGTTCGTCTGTCCGACTGTGTGCAAGGACTCTGCACATCCCAGCTGCAAATGACAACTGCCAAAGGCGTGGACTTGTCTGCGCAGGTCAAGCAGCTGCCTCGTAGCAAGCTCGCTGAGCGATCTAAAGGACACTGCACAGCTATCGCAGGATTGAACTTGGTTGATTGCTGCTGCAGGCTCTCTAGACAATGCGGCCGGCGCCACCCCGCGTCGCACAGCTTTGCGAGAGCCTCCACAAAGGCTAACTTGTGTTAGCAAGGCTGTCGAAACACTTCAAGTGCTGGGATGCCCTGAAAGGTCTGAGTTGCAGCCCTGCCCACACTGCGGTCGATCCTTCCGACCAGCAATAGTTGAAAAGCACGTGAAGGCTGGAATGTCGTGCTGTGGCATTTTCATGTTACCTAGTTGATGCTTCCTGTAGGCTGAGCCGTAAGCATGTATTGGAATGTACACTCACTCTGAGATCCTGTCTGAGACTTATGCAAACGCAGCCCGCCAGAAGTTATCCGAATCCCTTCTTGCGTGCATCATGCACCGGCTTGGAATTTGGTCCTAGAAGAAGTGCATGAAGTGTTGTACTCGACGTGAAGTCGGCACAGATGTTCTGCACGAAGAAGCTCTGATCTTGACAAATCATCATGAAACATAGGTCCAGTTTTTGATAAATAGGGATGCGTTGGATACGTCTGACTACTATCCATGGCCCAAGAAGCACGAATTGCACAGATGATGGACACGCCCACATACTACCCGCATCGTTTGACCTTGGATTAGGGCATGCACCTGCATGGCTGAGCACTTTGATCTGGTTGATGCTGTAGGTCTGCCAGAGCGTTTTTGCGGCGAATAGCACCGATGCCAAACGGCAAGTCTTCGACAGTCGGAGACACAGTCGGGCTGCTGTCAAGAAAAGTTAAGGAGAATTGCTGCAGAACTCGAGGCCGCAGGCATCGTCTGAAAGGGACTCCGCTGGAGGTTTCCTGTCGATATTGTTAAGCCTCACCATTTTCATAGCACTCATTCCGGAAGGATGTTTGAAATGAACAAGCGTTTAGTCCGACAGACTTGCGAGTGGAAGGGCTTGGCTTCGCAGACCTGCGGGCGATCTGGTACTGAGGTGGCTGTGGCTGATGGTCATGTCTCTGAAGTACTGACTCCGTTACTAGACCGAAACTGCCGAGAGTTAATCAGGCTGCCGTCCCACACGGCGCCAATGAAAGGCGAGCTTGGCCCTCACAAGTGTTGGCTGAAGAAGTGTGAGAGGTGCCGGGTAAGTTGGCGGAACGCACGCGAAAGGTCAGCTCTACCCCGCCTCGCATGCGGCCTGACAGACTTGTTCATTGGCCGCAGGGAGCAAAATCTGTTCCTTTTGAGTCATCCTTTTTGAGGGTCTGGGATTTGACAGTGATGGCTGATGCGCTCTTGGCCTTGAGGGCTCACAGCTTCCGATGTTCGCTGCTCCTGTTTTTCATTTGGCTTGGTGTCTTCTAGGGCTTTTTTGGTTCTCTTGCTTCATGGCATTTGAAATTGCACTGCTGCAGAAACTATTACAGGTACTTCGTCAACGAAATTACAAGTTCTTCCCCTAACAGCAGACTTTGCGCCCGCCCTAAGCAATGAACATGTGTGGGGCTCGACATTCTTTTTTGGCAAGCTTCATCCCACACCGCCGCACGGTAGCCACAGTGGCCGCTCAGAAGCCAATCAAACCTGAATTATGTCAAACGAACTTGCAATTCATCATGTTGCTCCTGGATTTTGACCCCAATTCCCGGCATCTTGCACTGCCCAGAGTCAACAACCTAAGTGGGGAAGGGCTGGTGGACTTCAATGTGGAACCACTGGCGTGCAAGCCATAGAGCAGATGGCGCAGGTGATGCGTAGATGCAAGAGTGCAAGCAGCATGGTAGCCAAGGTAAAAAGCAGCACTTCGACCGTGCGAACAGCGGAGAAAGGCATCCTTCTTATAGAGAAGTCTGCAGTGGCTCTCGCAACGCCCTGTGGAGAGGCATTGCGTCTGGCAGTCCAGAGTCTGCTCGGCTTGCATTCGCGGCGTTCAGCTGCCACTCGGGGCACTTAGGGGAGCCTCGTATGCCGCGTGTATTGCAAGGCTCCTTCATCGGTCTGTCTCAGATGTCCTAACTCCTCGAACTTTGCAGGCCAGATTCGTTGCTAAATGTCCTTACACGTAGAAAGCTGGCAAATGATGGCACATTGTGGTTCTTGCGAGCGCAGGATATGCAGGAAAGAAAGAGCAACCTGGACATTTGGGAACAGGAGCCACGATCTGAATCACGTTGATGTGTAGGTCGCGGACTATTCCAATCGTCCACCACCATTGAAAGCTATGTTGCAGGAAGTTCAAGAAGCCATTCAAGCTATGTCCGAACCAGCTTCTGAGGACGCCATACACTGCAGGATCCTACCCTTGATGTCAAAGTTCTGCCTCAGGATGTCGGAGAGTCTGTAGTGGACAGCCAGCAGGCGAAGTCCGCTAATCCATCAACGTCGAAACAAACGAGCATTTGCATCGTCCATGTACAGTGCGAGGCAAATCTGCCTACTTCTTCGCCTCTCAATGGAAGCCTGCGTGCTTTGGAGGCCCGCAATCGCGTCCAGGCTAGCTGTGGCAAGACCATCCTTGCAGGAGCGTGCCACCTTGCTTGAGCGGGCGCGCCTGGGAGCGAAGATGGGGCAGAAGCCGCGGCAAGACACCCGATACATCTAATGTCCAGCAATCCACACCATGCTCTGATGCCCTGACTTCAGAGGCAAGCCCTAGCTGGGTCAATGTCGGAGACGGTGTTATGCCACAATTCGGATGTGTTGCCGCAGCCTTTGCAAGCCTTGTGGACCAACCATGCAAGGGAAATGTGTGTTACGCTCTCTTTCGCCGTGGCAGGCACTGCATTGCAACCGGAACGAATTCAAGTTTTGTTCAATCCACGCAATCCAAACGGTAGTCAACAACTCATCAATTTGGCCCTAGTCCTTTCCTGTTTCAATTCCGAGGAGCCGTCTTGGCACCTTTCAACCTTTCAGTGTCTTTCAAGTCTGCTGAAACTGACATATGCCATATTCCAGCTCTCAAGCCGAAAATGCTGCCTGTGACTGTCTGATCTTGCTCTTCGAAACCGACCGACCTGTGGTGCGCCGCAGGCAACTATTCAAAATGAAGTTCCACATTGAACGTATTGTGCTCCATGATCCAACATGTCTGGTCTCATCCTTGCCACCCCCTAATGTTACCCAAACTCCTCCAATTTCAAAGCGGGCCTCGTGTTCTTTAACAAGCCAAACACCCAAAGACATGTTATTTGTACCTCAGCCAGGGCAGATTGGAAAAGGCATGAGTTGCGCAGCCACTGACATACGAGATCGAAATGTGGAGATATTTCAACAACAAAGAAGCCAATAACATCGGGACATCTAGGAATGGAATAAATATGTCGAACCAGAGATCTTCTGCAGAAAAGCGTGTTGCATTCTTTGGGCAACAAACATTTCTGTTGTTTAACAAATAAGCTTGGCTAAGAAAGAACACGGCAATTGCGGGGTTTAGATTGCGAGGATGTAACTGAGGCCAGTATTTGAGGCCAGACCTTCTGAAAATGAATAAGTAGAAACGCCAAGCAAAGCCAATTGGCAACTAGTCTAGCTGCTGACGTCGCTGTCCCCCAAGACTTATGCTCTGCCTACATTTTCCTCAAAGAGCACGCAAAGTCATCGCAGCCTAAGGCCCAAAGTCGAAAGCCTGAAAACACGAAAGCCATATGACGACTAGTCTGATGGCTGGAGGTCCCGGCCGCAGTGGGGAAAAAGATTTAACGGCTAGTCTGGAGGCTTATGGTTTTTGCCCATTTGGCCACATCCTATTCATTTTCTGTTGTTCCCCACCCTCGCAGTGGGGTTGTTAGGTTTTAAAGTAGATGTTGTCCTCGCCCGACTGGAAGGTGACTTTCGTGACCAACCACCAAGTATCCCTGCAGTGCCCAACCACCAAGATCTACGTAGCTTAGGTAGTACAGCTGCAGACCGA